CGGACATTGCACAAAACCAATATACTAATTCACTTCGTGAATGAGTATAAAAAACGTATTTCAAGTACTAGAGACTTGTGCTTCGGAATAACACACATTTAAATATTATGATTATGATTCGGAAAGTTTCATCGTCCTTCTACATAAGAAATTATTCAAAAAGTAAATTCTCATATTGCCCACACTGCAGCGCAACCCAACCGCAGTCGTTGCTAACTGCGCAATTAGCAGTTATGTATGTATGTGTATGTATGTACGTATTTGTGCATTTGTTTTGTAGAAGTGCAGAATGATGCAGAACCGACAGGTCTCATGGTATCTCCTAGTCGAGCAGTCTCGACTAGTGCACTCTCAATTGTTTTATTTATGTTGTTATTAGTAAATATATACGATAATGTCATGAAAAGCTAACGCTTTAACTTTTGTTAACACCAATATGAATTATGATGAATGATAAATGTGTAGAATTATTCGAAAAGAATATCTGCGCTGGGCTAAAAGAATCTTTTAGACGTCTCTTCCCGACTATAGTGCTATTTTTTTTATTTTTACCACTCACTTTCAAGTATTGCTTACTATTGTATGGTATAACAATGCGCCCTTGCCCTCTAATAGAAGTTGTTAGTTTGTGATCTGAAAGGATTTTAAATAATATCAAAGGACTTTAGTTGATTTACTGATTCAGTAAATGAAATAGAAACGCTTACATGGAAATATTGTATCTAAATCACAGGGTATCATCTAATAGGGGTCATTTGCTATTTGATGAGTCAGATTCATCGAGATTATTTGCATGCAACAGTTCCATAAATCAACTGAATGAATTTCATTCGACCGAGTGAGTCATAAAACGCCCTTGATTGCTCTTATGATTGCAGCTGAGAACGAGCCCTTAGGCTGTATGGAACTGATAGTGACAACGCTCTCAGTGCTGTTTTTCATTTTGACGTGCCCGATTTCCGTGTTCTTCTGCCTGAAGATTGTGGCCGAGTACGAGCGTGCGATCATCTTTCGGCTGGGCCGTTTGTGCGGCGGTCCCCGTGGTCCGGGCATGTTCTTCGTGCTACCCTGCATCGATCAGTACCGCAAGGTGGACTTGCGCACAGTTACATTCAATGTGCCGCAGCAGGAAATGCTGACCAAGGACTCGGTGACGGTGACTGTAGATGCGGTCGTCTATTATCGCATCCATGATCCACTGTTCGCCATAGTGCGTGTGGAGGACTACAGCACATCGACCCGCTTGCTGGCTGCCACCACTCTGCGCAACATTGTGGGCACGCGCAATCTCACCGAGCTGCTTACCGAGCGCGAGACCCTGGCCCACAATATGCAATTGACCCTGGACGAGGCCACCGAGCCCTGGGGTGTAATGGTGGAACGTGTCGAAATGTAAGCCACTAATCGATATCAAAAAGCCCACAGGACGCTAACCAATCGCCTGCTTTCTCCCTGCAGTAAGGATGTGTCGCTGCCCGCCTCTATGCAGCGCGCGATGGCCGCAGAGGCGGAGGCGTCACGTGATGCCCGTGCAAAGGTGATTGCCGCCGAAGGCGAAAAGAAGTCGGCAACTGCCCTCAAAGAAGCCTCTGATGTCATTTCCTCCAGTCCATCCGCTTTGCAGGTGGGTCAAGCCAGCTCCCAATGATTAAATGTGTTTAACAATCGCTTTCGCATTTCCAGCTTCGTTATCTGCAAACGCTAAGCAGCATTTCAGCAGAGAAGAACTCAACTATTGTGTTTCCACTGCCTATGGAGCTGCTGACCCCGTATCTGGCCAAGTATATGCCAATCGTGCCGTTGCCACCAAAGCCTCCGCAGCTATCATCAGATCTGCTCAATGAACAGCATGCTACATATCCCCAGCAAACAATTCTCTAATTAATGCGTACATACACACATACATACACATGTATATAACAAATAACAGTGCTCTAGTCGAAACCGCTCGACTACGAAGTACCCTGAACCCACACACATGCATACGCTGCTATCAGGTATCAGCTATGTATGTACATAGATGGATCTTACTTATCAGACTCAAAGAATGTAATGGTGGCATTCATAGTTGGGAATTTGTCTAGGCTTAAGTCTCTCGTATTTCAAGTACACGACCTTTATATTCATAAAATAGACCTGTGCATTTAATTTTAAATCTCTAGGTGTTGAAGTAATGCAAAAAACAAAGTCGAATTAGCGCAAGTTTATATAGTATGGAAATGGGCTGAGTTGACTCACTTCAGCGCCCTTCTTTTGAATGTTCTATGCTTTTTTACGAAACCACAATAACCATTTATTTCTACTTTCAATGGGTTCAGGGTATAAATGCATATACATATGTATGTATGAATCTATATATATATATATATATATA